GCCGTCCAAAGTCCGAACGCGTGACTTCGACCCCCTCGCAACCGTCGCCAGCCGTGGCCCACTGTCCCCGCAGGGCTATGGCGGGTTGGAGGGTGGCCGTCCCCGGCACATCCGCCACGGCCAACCCCGCCCCGACCTGCAAGACAAACTCGGCCTACCTCCTTGCCCCCTCACCTGCATCGTCAGTGAGGGACGCCGCCACAACGTCTGCGCATGCCTCCTGGCCTCCCTTCCACTCCGCGAGTTCCAGGGGCCGCGCTGCGCTTCCTGGGCCCAGGCCACCCTGAACGGGAAATTGTTCGCGCCGCCGCCCCTGTCTTGGCCCCCGCTTTGCACCAGGATCCCTGAGCGCGCCTCCATTCGACGAGGACCGCCACCCCTGTGGGCAGGGGCCTGGGCATCCTCGTCGGTCGCGACCCTTTCCTGCCCTCGGCCAGCAGCCGCGCCGCCTGCTGGTCGGACGCCCCCTGACCATGCCAAACAAGGGCCCGGTGCAGCCACCCCCAACTGATGTGCTCCGCCCAGCCCGCTTCCAGATCGATCACCTCCAGGTCCTTCTCCTTGACGAGCTGCCTTGCCTCCATGTTCTGGGCATCCGAGAATGTGCCGGCCGCGGCGTTCTGATGCGCTCGGAAGTGCGAACTCCAGACATGCGGTCCCCATGACGAGGAAGCTAGCTCACCGATTCCGGGCCCCCCCGTTTTGGGTCCAGCAGTGCGCGTTGTAGTTGTCTCCGCCGTGCATGATCGCGCCCGCTGCCCAGTGGCTCTCAGCCCACGCTGTCGCGGCGAAGGTCATCAGGTTCAGAAGCTCCGCGATGGCGATAATGCCCTCCTCGGCCTCCTCGACTCCTATAGCATCTCGAAAAGCTCTTCAGAATATCTTGGCGTCGTGGGGCGAGCGCTTGGAATTGCCTGGGTCCGCCGTGGCGATGCGCCCGGGCGCCGCGTCCCCAGTCGCCCAGATGACGCGGTAGGCCGAGCCAGGCAGAGCCAGCTTCTCATTGATAGAGAGCGTGCCTCCAACGCGCCGACGAACTTGGACCTCCATGTGCTGTCGTCTGCCGTCAAGGCCCTGGCGACATCCGTAGTCTGCCAGAAGTCCCTCGTTGTCGTGTCCGTGAATCAGGCGATGTCCCTCGTGGCTGGCATGGCCAGGTCGAGTGCTGGTGATCACCTCGCAATAGACCTCCACGAAGTTCCATGGGGTCTCCATGCGCCTGAAATCTAGGGCTAGGCCGGCCAACAGGTAAGCTGCTTTCTCGATCGTACGCTGCGGCATCTCGATGGATCCAGCCCTATTGCCGCGCATTAGTCCCCGACATATCTTGGTGGTCTCCCATCCTCCTTCTTCCTAATCCTTCTCGTCGTGATCGCCTCCTCCCCCGAGCGTTCGCGTGTGCCCTTGATGGCCGTCTCCCCGTGCTCGCTCGCCGTGGTGCCTGTGTCGGGCTCGACGAGGGCCTGGTCGTCCATGGGGAAGACGCCGTGGAGAAGAACAACGTCGTTCTGCCGCCCATCCGCCGGTCGGGAGGCCCGCGTGGCAACGCTTGGTCACTCGCGCCCATGTGGTTCACTCCCCTGGGCTGCCCGTCCACCCAGCTGTGAGCGCCATGTCCGCGGTCGTGATTATCGCGGCGTCGCCCCGCTTTCCTCCTTCGAGGTCGGCGCCGAAGATGCATGCGTCCATCTCATGCATGACCGCCCGGCGGAACGTGATTTTTACGTTCTCTTTGGTGGGAATTGATTCCGGGTGCTCGGGCGTTCCACCGTAATGTGATCCGAAGGAACGAGGCCCTCATGCGTCGGCTGGCCCGCGGGAGGGCGGCCCTCCTTAGGGCGCATCTGGTTGGGCGCAATGCGTCTCAGATGAGCTTGCCATTGTCGCTCATGGCGCGGCCGGCTTTCCGTTTAGGTGCGCTCGCCATCGGAGCGCTCGCCGCCCAGCCGAGTAAATGCTCGTGGACTTCGGTGCACAGCAAGACCCGACCTTTCGCCGCGTCTTTCCAATGCGCCCCCGTGGCCTCGTCCAAATCGTCCTTGGCATTGGGGTGTGGTAAAACCATGGGGCGAGGCGACCCGTGCCCCTGAGGGGCGGTGCCGACGTGGCGGATGCCGTCGAAGGCGGGGCTCTCGTCGCTCATGATCTCAATCATCGCGGTCCTCCTCATCTGTCGCTCCTCGTGCCACCTGCCGCGAAGCTCGCGCCAGACCCCGCAGATCACTCGGGGCGGCCGCGCATTGTCGCGCTTCCCGCCCAGTTCCCGGAGGTCCGCCGCCGCCCGCTCATGCTGCGGGCGCGGCTCTTGACCGTGGAAGCACGCCCGCCGCCGCGACTCGCGCAGCGCGTTTTGGAACTACATGGTTGAAGTCGAGGCATGCCGCGGCCTCGGCTCCAGCTTGTAGTCCTTGGGAAGAACGAGCTCGTCTGTGTCCGCCTCCGAAATGCGGGGGGATGTTGCGCAAGAGAGGTGCTAGTCCGGAAGCTTCTCATGGTCTCGCCCTCCATGCTGAAGCGTTGCGTAGCCGTGAACGATGGCGTTCGTGATGTTGGTCGGGAACTTGACGCTGTGGGCGAAGGGGCGGATCCGCGGAGCGAGGTGCGTGAAACGCGTCGTCCTCCGCGTGGCCTTGGCGCAAGGTGACCGCGAGGTTGGGTCCGCGAGCCGTGAACGCAGGCTGCCCCCCTCGCCGGCCGATGCTGGTCAGCGCGCCCTCCCGACTCCTCGGAGTGCTTGTTCGCCCTGCCCAACTCCCTTGCCGAGTCCCTGACTGCCGCCTCCGTCGCCGACTCTGGCGCCGAGCCTGCCGGCGCCCTGGCCTCGGGGTGCGTCGTCGTGGCTGCGGCGTGCCAGTCGTGCGGGCGGCTTCGTGAAGCTCTGTGAAGAGCTCTCACTCTCTCTCACTCGCACTGCCTCTCTCTCTCTCTCTTTCTCTCTCTCTTTCTCTCTCTCATATTTTCTTCTTCTTCTCTGATTCCTTTTTTTTTGTTCTTTTTTTTGCGCCCTTCACAAAAAATTGCACCCAAAAACGGATCCTGGTGTATGCGGGATCTTGGTGTATACACTTTTCGTCGTTTCCCGTTTCCCTGAGATTTTGAAACAACCCGCCGCTGAAAGTGTGCATGCTTCAATTTCCAAATCTGGGCGAGATCGGTAGGCGTGGCTGGCGCCCGTGGGGCCGAGGAGCTGGCCGCTCGGTTCTCGCAGGTGGCCTGGGCGCCCACGCGCTGGCGACCGTCGGCGGCGGGGCCCGGCTCCCAGGCGCGACTGCGGGTGGCGGCTCCCGGGTCTGGCCCTGCCCGCGGCCTCTGACCGAACCCGAAGTGGCCCAGGCCGGGTGGCGCCCGAGGGGGGCCCGCCCGCGCGATCGAAGACCAGGCTCCAGCCCGCGACCCGTCGTGCGAACCATGCGATGAGGCGGGTGGCTGACCAGAGCATCGTGGCGAGAAGGGCCGCTGCTAAAGCTACCGCTGCGTGCTTGAAGCGTGCTCCGTAGCGCCCCAGTATGTCGTGGCCCATTCCGCCACGAAACGAGCTAGCTGGTTCAAGAAGGCGCCGAGGGTGTATCCGAGTTTCTCCCCGAGTCAATTCAGAAACTTGGCCAGCATTGCGTTGAGCAAGCTCTCGTAGCTGCCCTCGCCGCTGCCACCCGCGCCGGGCTGAGGCGCGCCCTTGCTCTTGCCCCAGCGTGGGTTGGAGGCCGACCAGGCAGGCTCCAATGCGGGGAGGTCCTCGGGAGGACCGCCTCCCGCCGTCTTCGGCTGCTGTGCTCTTTCGCTCCTTCCTTGGCCCCCTCCTCCTCGCTGGTATCCCTATCGCGGTAGAAGTGGCGACGTAACGATCCGCCTGGGGATCGGCGCGCAAGTGTCGGGGCGACGGCGAAGCATGCCCTCCTCCCCACGACCTTCGGGAACGGCAAGGGCGGGGAGCTCCTCTCGGGGCGCCTCCATTTCTTCAGCCAAACCAATAGCCCTCTGCTGATCTTGGGGCATGTCATAGCTATCGATTCCTCCTACTCGCAGGTCTCCTCAGGCTCCCACCCCGAGGCGTGGCTCGCCTTCGCGACCGAGCTCCAGGCTTCCTCGCGGTCGGCGTCGCTCTCTTGGCCGATATTCTGAACGTGCTCAAACTTGACCTCCGCGGCGAAGCCGCTCCGCCACGAAAGTAGCGATCGCGCATTCCACCGAAGCGGTACGTCTCAGCATCATTGATGGGTGTGTTTTCCACCAACACCACCATAAGATGGATGGGGGGAAAGAGGAGGAGGAGGAGGAGGAGGAGGAGGAGGAGGACGAGGAGGAGGACGAAGAGGAGGAGGAGGAAGAGGAGGAGGAGGATGAGGAGGAGGAGGTCCCTCTCCCCCTCCAACTCATGGTGGTGGTGGTGGTGGTGGTGGAAAACAGGCCCATCAATCATGCTGCAACGCCTTCTCGGTGCTCTCCTTTGTGCTGCGACCTACGCAGCCAAGCGCGAGCGCCGCTTCGACCCGAGCCCCGCACGTCGCCACCACAACAGCGCCGCGCCTCAGAATCGTCCGTGGGCGCAGCAGACGAACCCGGGCCAGGCCAGGCGCCGTGCGCCCGTGCTATGGCCCCACCCGCCCACTTCGAAAAGCGGGGCCCCCGCAAGGGGCCAGAAACCTGAGCCAAAACGGATACGGATTTCGCAAAACCCAACGTTAGGACGAACGATTTACAAACCTCCCGCCGTGACTGTTCACAACGAGAGCGGAGGTGGGGACACGGCGCGGGTTGACATGACGTGCGTTATCCAATGCTTTCTCGGCAGCGCGACAACATTCCAACACGTGGCGAAGCATTCGCAGTCCTTTCCGACATACTGTGCGCAAGTAGTTGCAGCTTCAAGCGCAATCTTATTTGCATGCACCTCGCCTGGTCCACGCACCGTCCGGTGTTGGACGTACCAGTACCTGTACCAAGACCAGGAGGTGGGGAGAGGTCCAGGCTAGCTCGGGCCCCCTTGGAAGGGCCATCGTCTCCTCGCCCGCGATCGCCGGGACCAAACCGTTGAGTTGGCTCTTGAGCTCGGCCTCGCCGGCCGCCAGCATGCTCTCCTAGGGCAAAGGGGGGAGAGGAGGGAGGGAGGAGTTGGAGGGGGAGGAGGGGAGTGGGAGGAAGAGGGGGTGAGGACAGCGCGGGGGACGAGGGAGTGAGGGAAGGGCGGAGGAGGAGGAGGAGGAGGAGAGGAGGAGGAGGAGTAGGAGGAGGAGAAGGAGGAGAAGGAGAAGGAGGAGAAGGAGAAGGAGGAAGAGGAGGAGGAAGAGGAGGAGGAGGAGGAGAAATATGAGGAGAAGGAGAACGAGGAGGAGGAAGAGGAGGAGAAAGAAGAGGAGGAATCTGATTCGACAGAGGATGATGATGATGATGATGTTGATGATGATGATGCTGATGATGATGACGATTAGGAGGAAGAGGAGGAAACGGAACAGGAGGAGGAAGATGAGGAACAATAGGAGGATGAGGATGAGGAGGAGGCGGAAGTGGGGAGTGGGATAAGGAGAAGAAGGAAGAGGAGGAGAAATATGGGGAACAACACCACCATACTACATCTTGAAATCGTCCGCCCACCATCCGTGCAATTACACTACAGTCTTTTTTTCAACTTCTGCCCATACAATCTGAAGGGTTACCAAGCGAGAGACCAATGCGGAACAGCTGGGTGCCTTTCACTTGGGTGTGCGCGGTGCTGATGCGAACACAACACTTTGAGATCGTCTCGCCCACCATCGGTGTTTTAGGATGAACGCTTTTCAAACTAACGTGTGCGGCGCTGGGGCAAGAGCCAGATACATAGCATATTTCGGAAACGTCTCGCCCTCCATCCTAATGACTCTTGGGTTTGAAACAGTCCTCGTCACCACGGCTGGTTCCAACTTGAGATCCACGTCATTCGCGGCCCAAAACAAGTCCAAAAGCTGATTCCAGTTCAGGACAAGTCTGGGAGGTGGAGGAAGGATGAGGATAATCATGATGAGGAGGAAGAGGACGAGGAGGAGGAGGAGGAGGGAGAGGAGGAGTAGCGACAATACCATGAGGGGTTCGGGGTTTCATAATACTCGCTAGCAAGCGTGTTTCAGCCACCTGTCGGGCCGTGCCACGTTAGACTGAGGGGGCAGCAGAGAGTAAATTTTAGGTAGTTGGCTGGCGCGGCTTTCACCACATCAAGCTGCTGGGGCACCGTTACGAAAGTTCGTCCGTCCTGCTTAGCGGCCACGTCCAGGAGGAGGAGGAAGAGCAGGAGGATGCGGGTGCAAATGCGGATGAGGGTGAGGATGATGCTGATGCTGAGGATGACGATGCTGATGCTGCTGATGATGATGTTGATGATGCTGATGATGAGGATGCTGATTATGATGATGATGAGGATGCTGACTATGATGATGCTGCTGCTGATGACGATGCTGATTATGATGATGATGTTGATGATGGTGATGCTGATCATGGTGATGATGATGCTGCTGCTGCGGTTGCTGCTGCTGCTGCTGCTGATGCTGATGATGATGGTGAGGAGGAGGAGGAGGAGGAGGAGGAGGAGGAGGAGGAGGAGGAGGAGAAGGAAGAGGAGGAGGACGAAGAAGAGGGCGCCTTTACGCTTCCGACCTGGCCCTGGCCTGTATACCTTGCTACTCCCTTCCGGTCGTCTGACCCACGGGCGCTCCTCGCGCCCTCGCGCCGCTCTCGCTCTACCCTTGCGCCGCCGCGGCTTCCCTGAGGCGGGTTGCGCTTGCTATAACCCTCAGGCTAAGATTATGTCGGGCGTGTCACCCTACAGGGGGATTTTCGACGAAAAATAAGAAATACCCCCCAAATACCCCAAGAAGGTCAAAACATACTCAAAACATAATCCCCCGACTATTTTTGTATTATTTGTTTGATTATTTTTGGGGTATTTTTAATGTTTCGTCGAAAATCCCCCTGTAGGGGGACAGGCCCGACTTAAGGCTAAGATGGGGAGGAAGAAGACTCGGCGTTGCGTGTGGTCTCAGTCTGACCTGCTGGTCACCCAGCACATCGCTCGACTCGGAGCTACACCTCGCACAATCACAACCGCTTCAAGACGATTCGAGGTGCCGAGTTTCACGCGCCTTGAGGAGGAGGAGGACGAGGAGGAGGTGGAGGAGGATCGAAGACCCAACCCTCATCTTCGTCGTCCTTGCCCTCGCCCTCATCTTCTCTGCCATGCGCCCGGCCTCGCTCCCTCGCTGCGCTGCGCCACCTCCTGAATGGAACACTGGTCCCCCCCCCCTCCTCCTCCTCCTCCTCCTCCTCCTCCTCCTCCTCCTCCTCCTCCTCCTCCTCCTCCTCCTCCTCCTCCCCTCCTCCTCCTCCTCCTCCTCCTCCTCCTCCTCCTCCTCCTCCTCCTCCTCCTCCCTCCCCCTCTCTCCTCCTCTTCCTCCCTCCCTCCCTCCTCTTTCCCCCCCTCCCCCCTCCCCCTCCTCCCTCCTCCTTCGCCTCACCTGCTGCTCCTGCTACTGCTGCTGTTCCTCCTCCTCCTCCTCCTCCTCGTCATCGTCCTCCTCCTCCTCCTCCTCCTCCTCCTCCTCCTCCTGCTCCTCCTCCCCCTCTTTCCCCCCTCGCCCACTTCTTGGCCAGAGCCGCGCCACCTGTGAAAATGCCCGGCCCGAGCAGCTCGGGGCGGCGGCGACTCTCTGCCATGCCATGCGCAGACGCAGATGGGGGCCAGGAGAGGGCAGCAGCTACAGCAAGTTCGTGTCGTGACGACCCCTGGGTTTCGTCCCCGTTCGAGCTCTTGTGCCTAAACTGTTCTCCTCTCAGGGTCGGCGGAACCTGCAGTACGGCGTATGCCACACGCATCGAAAGGCCTCCGAGGTGACGTGTGAGATCTGCAGTATCTCCCAATGCGCTCCCCCCCCAGAGCCTCAGACAATCATCCCATACGTGCTTGAATTCTGCCAAACTGGCTCCAACTAGCACAGCAAATTCGTGTCGTGAAGGTCCCGCCGTTGGTGTCTGACACCGCGTGGATCTTTCAACCTTGAACGACCAGCGTTTTTTTCGATCGCCAGATCGTTCCACACTGGCCGATTCTTGGCAACAGCGCCAACGCTGGGGTTGCCGCCGCGTCGACACTGCGCGCACCTACCGGTAGGTCCCCCAACTTCGCGCAACGCGCCCCGCGATCCACCGCCGTATGTACCCCGTGGAATGCCACGGGCTGTCTGAGAGGTCTCCTGTAGCTTTCAAAAAGGGGGCCCTGCCCTCTCATCGCAGAGTTCTGCGTGCATCCCCCCCCCGCCCTCCCGAGGCCACGATCCTTCGCAAGCGCCATGCATCGGAGCTCTCGAGGCGACGATCCCTTCCAGAAGGCGATGGGCCCGCGCTCCCGTGGCCACGACCCCGAGAAAAAAAAAACAGTGGATCCGCGCTCCCGAGCTTCCAGGACGGCCGAGGCAGGCAACCAGGCCGTGTCTGGACCTCCCAGTTTTTCTCCTGGAAGGCCCAGGCGAGACCTTCCAGGGAGTGGCGGGAGGGATCCGGGGGGTGGCGAGCGGGAGCAGGCGAGGCGGTGGCGACGACGGGCAGCGGGCGCGACGACGCTGCCCTGCCCTCCCGCGCGCGAGCCCGCGGGCCCCCTTCCCCGCTGGGAGCCCAGGGCTCCTGGTTCGGGGGCAGCGCCTGCACGGCGCTGTCGACCTCGGTACTCTTGCCCGTCTGGCCCGTGTAGCGGAGGTGGTACTTCAGCTTGAAGCCCCGGTCGCTCTCCGTCCACCTACCGGGCGGCGCTCCTCGCCCGGCGCACCCCTGCCTAGGAGAGGGCAGGCATTGAGTATGGCCCGTCCCTCTACAGGAGGAGTATTCAAAAATAGTAAACAAAATAGTCTGGGGACGATTCTTGGACCACTTTTGAACATGTTCAGGTATTTTTGGGATATTCTTCATTTTTCGTCCAAAATCCCCCTGTAGGGGACAAGCCCGACTTCAGGCAAGCAGAGGACAACCTCGGATGCGGAGGAGCCGGGCACCTCTGAGAACCAGTGCGTCTGGAGGATCTGTCCTGAGAGCCAACGGGTCTGGAGGATCCATCGGGCGTTGCCTGAAAAATGGTCCTGGCCCCAAGTGTCCCCAGTTCGCCGTTTCTGGAGCCCTGGGGCCCTGAGTCTCGCGAGGGGTGCTACGGAAGCCATCCGGGCAGGAGGGCACGATGACGAGGACAAGGTCGTTGGGGGTCATAGTCTGTGCCAGAGCCTAGACCACTAGTGGGACCCCTGGGGAAACGTGGATGCGGGCCCCAGAACAGGGTGCCATGAGGGGCTGCCACGGGCGAGAGCTCGTCAAGTCCGTTCTATGGGGAGCGCTGTCCCATCAGCATGCTGGCCCTGCCTTTCGGAATGCGCAGGGTGCTGCAGGAGGCCTCCGCTGCCGTGCTTCCCGGCGCACGGGCGCCTCTGAGGACCATCCCCGGCCCTCCCGCCACTCTCTCCCCCCACCACATATGAGAGAGATGGGCCATGAATAGCTAGCTCCGCACTCCCTCTCTCTCTTCAGGCTGAGGACTGCGGGTGCACGAGCACAGTGCCGCAGTCTCTGGTCGGGAGTTCGAGATAGTGAGGCAACCAACTCCCCCTCCGTCCGCGCTTGCATCTTGGGCAGGCTACATGGATGACGCGCCGCACTGGCAAGGTCGGCGGGAAAAAACTATGCCGTGCCCAGGGACGCTCTCGAAACGGAAAGGAACATAGCAGCAGCAAGGCCCGCTAGGAGCCTCTCGGATCAAGTGACCCGCTCCGCTGGGCGCACACATGCGTCACCGTAGACGTGCTCACGCAGGACTCCCGATCGAAGGAGTCGCCCTCTCGATCACCTCATACACTGCGGCCTTCTCCTTCTCGCTGTCGCCATCGTCGTGGCGGATGGTCCAGCCGAGTGGGGGGTCCACGTCTTGGGGTCGTTCACATGAAGCACGTTTCACACGGTGGGCGAAATCCACTCTGATGGATCTTGAGTTCTCCAACCATGCTGGCGCCAAATGACCTCGTTGTTGGCTTCCCACGGGGGCGGGTCCCCCGTTCTCGATGATGGGGGCCTCGTCATTGTTCTTCTTGCCTGCCTAACCGATGCGCGTGGCGGACTTCATCAGCTTCTCGTCCAACTGGGTGGTGAGCTGCACGGTCTTTGCAAGCGAACAGTCCTGCGCGGTGCTGGCCTTCTCGACCTTTTATTTCTTTATCTTCACGCTGGCCGGGTACACGTCCAGAATATGGCCCTTGATCATCTGCAGCTCCGGCGTGGCCATGTCGATGCGTGTGCCATGGTGCTGAAGGGGGTCAGGATGCTGGCGGGGTGTGCGATGTCCTTGGTGACCTTCAGCTTCTGGAGATGCATCGCCTGTAGTGCCTCGGAGAGCTTGCCTGCCTGTGGCCCCATCTCGTTCGCGAAGCTCTTCGGCGTGATCTGCGCGAGCTCGCCACTGCCCGTAGACGATCCTGCCGTGCCTAGTCCACTGCACATGGTGGCGCGGTTCTCTGGCGTCCGTATCTTCCTGGGAGGTCGGGTCGCAACTGCGAGCGCACCTGCGATGAGGAAATGGCTGTGTACAGGGGCCACCGATGCAGTTGTGTCGTTGCCGTAGCGGTCGTTTATTTAGTGATCTCGTGCCCCTTATCCCTGTCCGTGGGTGCCTCAATAGTTGAGGAGCAAGGGGGAGGACCATCGTGGAACCACAGCCACAATCGTACGAAGTGGAAATATGCGTGTGAAGTGTACTGTACGCTGTTATCGGAGGTTGGGGGGTGAATCCGACGTGAAACGGAGACCCCCCCTACCGGGAAATCGATTTCGGTTTCGGGTTTGTGTCGTGCGTGCCGTGCGTGCGTGCGAGGCGAAGCTGCGTGGGCGGGCGAGAGGAAATCCTCCTGTGGCTGGGCCGCGGCCGGACCAAATGTTTCTCCTCTGGCGGCCGGTGGCCCGCGGTGTCCCGCCGGTGTCCCGCTGGTGTCCTGAAATCCTCCTGTGGCTGGGCCGCGGCCGGACGAAATGTTTCTCCTCCGGCGGCCAGTGGCCCGCGGTGTCCCGCCGGCGTTCCCGCTGGTGTCCCGAAATCCTCCTGTGGCTGGGCCGCGGTCGCACGCGGGGACAGCGCTTCACGGCAATGTCGAGTGCGCTTCACTAACATCGCCACATCACATCACGCTCACGTGCACAATCACACTACTCACTAGACTCCGCCCCACAGGCATCGTCAGAACAACAATCACCACTTTTGCCCATTGCTGCCCCCCCAACCTCCTTATCACCCGCAGGGTGGTCGTATAGGTATGCCATGCTCCTTGCACAGACCCACGGTGTGTAGTGCGCGTGCGTGAGGATGCAGCTGTCGTGTGCTCTGTATCCGCTTGCTGTGTGTTTTTGCACCTGCGCTCGACATGCTGCCCTGCGAGGAAGATAGTAGGTATGGTGGTGGGAGGGGTGGTAGGGGAGGCTGGACCCGTTGTGTGGTGGAGGGGTGGGGGGAACTCGCTGATGGTTGGTGATCCCCTTGCCCCGTCGTATGTCCGTGGTGGAGTAGTGGGTAGTGCGCCCTTGTTTGAAGTAGTTGACCATGCGTAGTAGCTAAGCGATGTAAACCCTTGTGCCAGCTTGGCAACGTAGTCGAGTCAGGCGCACTGGATCCATACTTAGTTGGGGGCTGTGGCGGTACCGAATGAGGCCACGTCGAAGGGGATGCCGGCTCGCTTCTCTGCAAGGCAGGCGTGCCCAACTGCGCGGGGGGCCTGGCTTCTAGCTGCCGCGGCGATTAAGGCCTCCACCGTGCGCTCGGGACCCGACTTCGGAGCGCAGCCCCGGCTCTTCGTCTCGCCGAGGTGGGCGATCGCTAGGCCGACCGCTGCCCTGGAGAGGTCGGCCTTGAACCCCGAGATCTTCGCGTGCTGTTCGTCGCTGATCTTGGTCTTGCCGTGCGTCGCCGACCTCGGGCAGGGGGTCGAGTCGATCGAGTGCTGCGCTTTGCCCAAGCGGCCGCTGTCGCCAATGTCCCCCTCCTTCTTGTAGGTCTCCTGCCCCTTGCGCATCTGGAAGACCTCCGTCACGAAAATCGGCCCCCGCGACTCCGTGATCTGCTCCATGAACTCCTCCAGCGCGACCCTGGCTGACTCTGCCAGGCTCGTTGAGATTGCCCCCCTGCGTCTGCTGCTACGCGAGTCCTTCGATCAGCGCCGTTGCGACGTGTCCGTGGTGGTGGGGGGTGAGGGGGGGGGGCTAGGCCGTGCCCCTTGCCGAGCTCCTTGACCCTGTTGCCGTGCTCTCGCCGTGTGCTCATGGCCGCTTGAGGCGCGTCGGCTTTCATTGGGGTCGACCAGAGCTCCGTCGCCATGTGGTAAAGGTCGCGCGCCGCCGCTGAGTTCTGGTGGCCCAGCTTCTGCATGGCCCTGGTGTTGTCGACGATGCCCGCCGATGAGTGGCTGCCCCGCGGCCTGGGCCCCCTCCGCCGCCTCCCGCTGACGACGACTGGCCCTTGCTGCCCTTGGCCTTGATCTCCCTGCTCTTGCGCTCGAAGTCCTGTGATGCTCCTGGCTCTCCCGGCGGCGGCTGCTTCGACGGCGTGGTTCGCCATTTCTCCATGGGCCGCCTGGCCCTGCGCGGGCCGGGCCTTGTCTGGCCCGGCTATGTGGGTGCGGACGTGATCCTGAACGGCCCCTTGGTTTTTGGGCCTCCATGTTGACAGACAGGGCGCGCGAGCTGCGAGGGTATACTGACAAGGTTGGCACGCTCTGCACGGCCCTGGTGGCACATCCCATGGCAGTGTACCGCGCGTGTCGACGCACCCTGGCACAGGTAACACACATTCGACTCGAAGCTGCACGCTGCAAGCGGAACGAGTAAGGCAACGCGGAGAAGCGAAAGAGATTAGCCCGCTAAGGTCACAGAGCAGAGCGTGCAGCAAGTCAGAGTGGGGAGACAGACCGATCAGCAACCCCGAAGACTAAACCGAAGGCCTCCTCTTCTCTTCCTCCTCTCGATGCGCGCGCGCGCGCCCGCGCGCTCCCGCATTCCCGCGCGCGGGGGAGGAGCGGAAGGATGGGAGATGAGGGAGATTGGGGGAGTGAGGGAGGAGGCGGGATGAGGGACAAGGAAGAGGGGAGAGGGGAGATGGGGGAGGACAAGCTAGGTGTGCAAGCGTCGTATTGGACGTCCTACCCCTGTCCCCTGTCCCTTACCATTGCGAAGATCTCCTCTCTCTGCGCACAGTCGGATGTCGAACAGGGCAATGATTTAGAAAGAGAGAGAGAGAGAGAGAGAGAGAGAGACAGAGAGAGAGTACGCGATGCACGGTATAGCACGGCGTAGCATGGCATAGGAGAGCACAGCCACAGCCGACGTCGTCGCGTCGAGAACGCGACTCATGTCGACAACAGGGTCAGAAGGAAACTAGAAATGGCACAAGACAGGAAATGCGAATGGACGGTCTGGGCAACGAGAAGCGCGAAAGGAGATCAACGCTGCAGCGGGAGCACGATTACGAAGTACCCAAGCCGCGGACACGAGACCAGCGCTGCAGTGGGAGCACGATTTGGAAGGACTGGAAGCGCGGAGCCGAAGCCAAAGCTGCAGCAGGAGCACGATTTGTAAGAAGCAGAACAATGGAATGAGGTCAACGCTGCAGCGTGTAGATGAATTGGAAGGACTGAAAACGGGAAGATGGAGCCAACGCTGAAGCGGGAATGCCATTCTGAAAGAACTGAAGACGCTCGGATTGTCAACTCGGCGGCATCC